CGGTTCCTATGTTTATTTGTCTACTGATATTCTTTGCAAAGCTGAACGTTTGAAATCATGTTTAACGGCTATTAGGAACGAGGCCACACACAAAATGCAATTTATTTATTTTATTTTGTGTCATATTGTTTAATAATAATATAATCGTTCTCATAAATTATATCATATACACGTCAATATACAATCTTTTGTGCGGAATGATATTTCTGATGTTTATTTTGGATAATATCTTCTAGAGTTTTGTGCTTTGCCTTACATTGGGTGTTGTATAGTATTTTGGTGTTATCTACTAATATGTTTCTAAAACTAATAGTTACGGAGGTTTTCTCTACAACTTGGAGCACATACTGATAGTTTAATCGAAGATTTAAAAAAAATATAATGAAAGACAGTCTTTGTCGTCATTTTTTAATCGAACGTGTTTGGATACATAGTTGCTGGTTAAATACAGCTGGTAGGCGTACGTAGATAGATAGATAAGGATTGGTTACAATGATAATGCAGAGACAATAGATAGATAATAGAGATACTAGATAGATAAATAAATAGACAGATGAAATAAGTTGAAATAAAATATTAGGTTGCCATCCTATCTTTGACTGTCTTTCTTTATATCTTCCTATATTTATCATCCTTTCTGTTTGCCTCGGTTTCTTTCTCTCTCTCTCTCTCTCTCTCACACACACACACACACACATATATATATAAGTGAACATTACAAACGCTCTATTTATGATATTGAGCACTTAACTAAACTATATGTATATATATATATATATATATAAATTTTACACATGCACACACACACACACATATATATATATATATATTTCCCTATGGGTGCGTGTGTGATACTGATATATATATATATATATATATATATATATATATATATATATATATATATATATATATATGAGTATCAAACCGAAATATATATTTTATATATTTTTCTTTTATATATATATATATATTTATTGTACCAATCCAGGTTCGATCAAGATTCGATTCTCAGTAGTAAATGCGCAATGACGAGGAGTCACCGACAAGGACGAAACGCTTGTCAAGTTTCCTCTGCGTCCTGATGCTTATTCTCCTAGACTCGTTAAATGATTATTCAAATCCCCAACAGTTTCCAGTACTGATACATACACACACACACAGATATATATATATATATATATATATATATATATATATATATATATATATATATATATATATACCTAAATGTAAGAACGAAGAGTAAGATTCAATGTAGTTCAGAGGCAACATTGGTAGCATTGTGATCTCCCATCTGATGAAATGATACTTTCTAACGTTAAAGCAAGATGTACTGTTTTGTAATGCATGTTCTAATGTAACACTGTATAATATATATATATATATATAACAGGTAGACATACACTCCCTGGATAAGGTAATTTGAATTTTGGCCACCTCTTCTTCTCAGAGATCGCAAGCAATTTTGTCTTTCTTTCATTCTAACCTGAAGAAGCAGTATTCTGAAGACGAAACGCGTCTATAAGTTTTCCTCTTGTTCTCATTATATTCATATATTTATATATTTGTGTGTAAGTAATAGATGATAAATATAAGAAGATATAAAGAATGAGCAGCATAATTAACAAAGAAAGAATCAGAAAGAAAAGTTAATTAACGGTTGCCAAAAAAAAGAGAGAAGAGAAAAGTAGTCATATATATATATATATATATATATATATAGATAGATAGATAGATAGATAGATAGATAGATAGATAGATAATGAGTCAATGGAAAATAGAATGAAAGCAATGAAAGCCAGAAATGGAAGGAAGAGAAAGAAAGAGTAATAAACGTAAAGGGAGAAAAATGAAGAAAGAAACAAGATGATACAGGAAAATGATTAGAGAGGGGAAGAAAGTGAAAAACTGGAAGAGAGAAAGGGGAAGCTGGAAAAACAAAACTATGAGAAAGGGAAAATATCAAGATAAAACAAATAAAAGAGGAAAGAAAAATAACATTCACAAAAGAAGGTAGACATATGTAATCGGGAAACAGAATGACAATAATAAAACAAGCTACGATACAAATAGAAAAGACGTTAATAGATGTCGTCATATATAATAAATGTAGAGTATTAATAAGAACAAACGATAAATAAGTTAATAAAAAAACTGGAGAAGACATTCAAGACTAACAAAAAAGAAATTCGAATGTTTAATGAAGAAAAGACGATTCACGCCTGGCCGAAAAGTTAAAGTTAAGCAGCAAAACGATTAATGAAAATGAAATAAAAAAAGACAATAAAGAGAAAGAAAGAGAATATATGGAAAAAAAAAGAAAAAATAGAAAAGACATATTAAACGAAAGATAAAGAAAGAAGGCGTAAGGAACAGAGAAAAAAAAATCATGTCGCCGATTTACGCTTGTTTCTTTGACGCAAACTCTCGTTGAACTAAACTGCCAATTATCTTTCAAGACAGGTCAGTGAATTTTAATTATTCTACTGAATTATTTTTGTACATAGACTTTTTTTAGATTAATAAGATTGTTATGGGTAGGCACAGATGCTTATAAACCATTGCAGGGCAAGAATCTTTGATATTGATTTTTTAAAAAGCGAACTCTGATATATGAGATCAAACGTGAATTGAAATTTGTCTTTCATTCTTATAAGTAAGCATAGATAGTCACAAAATTGGTCAACAGACCAATCATATTGTTTCAGAGGTTTCATACTTCTTGTCTTTTTGCCAGACTATGCTATTTATAGGAAATAACAAGCCATAGTCATTTACACCATATTTTTGCTTTTATTAGTCCTCAAGAAGCCGTTGCAAATCTTTTAAACAGGAGCAGACTTCAACTCTACCGAAGAACTATAAAAATATCAAAATATCCGTAATTATTATCTTTCTTTGAAAAATAAAATAATAAGTGAAATTTTGGACTTAATTTTATTTACTCAACCCGACCACCAGGTCAAGTTGTGACAGAAGGTCGGTTTAATGGGCAAGGTACAAAAATTGTCCGAGCCTCTGCAGCTCTCGATCCCTCTCATTGGCACGGCCCCGGGCAGCAGCTCCCCAGGTCCGGGCACCACTCAGCATAACCCTCCTCAGCTGCGACTCCGTCTCCCCGAAGCAATAAATCCGTTACTTATTCAACCATTTATGGGATAAATATAAGAATAGATTTGAATTCTTCGAGAAATAGCAGAGCAAACTGGGTCACTTATTCTTTGGAGGACAATCCTGACGAGGTCAATCAGGAAAAGGGTAATTCCAAATTCAAACTCTCACTTCCCTTTACTGACAGACTTGGACAAAGCCTTTGTCCTGTATCTTATTAAAGTTATGACTGCTATAATTAAATGATGTTGGTAAAACATTGTGAGTAAAGTTGCAATTTAATTGTCTCTTATTGTAATCATTCTTGAAATTTTAAAGCCTGTCTAAAATGATTACATTAATTCCGACATTTTAAATTCAATTTTCCTTCATTACCACTGCGATAATATTCCCCCAGTTAATCAAACAAGACTATGTTCATTCTTACACTGACTCAAAGCAAAATATTGATGATAACACTAAACGAGGTACAGTAAATACATGAGACAATTTGCAAAACATGTACTTTGATGTTTCAATAACGAACGACATCCTGAAAAACGTCTTAAATTTCACAAAAAAAATTACATAAACCAGACAAAACGTAATTCATGTTAAGAACGCATGATTTTGTAATACAACTGTATCCTTATAAAAATTGTATTCATCTCAGGTTTTATTTATTTAATTTAAGGTTTACATTGTCACTGTAATAATTTAGTAAGAGCTGTCGATAAACTGTAATACACCAATCATATATTAATTGTAGGACGCTGATTCATAGAATTTGGCATATTAAATTGATTAATTTGAGTTAACATTAATTTGTATATATCTGTAACATATATATATATATATATATATATATATATATATATATATATATATATATATATATATATATATATATATGTGTGTGTGTGTGTGTGTGTGTGTGAATATATATATATTTCCTTGGATAAGTATTTAACCTCCTTGAACTTAATCGCATTTTGTCCCGTTTCTAAACACAGATTTAATATATTTCATTGAGGTTTTATATAATAGACCAAGTCAAAATGGTGCAAAGTTCTGTGTGTTTATTTATTTACAGTGGAACCCATTAGTAAAATCCAGTGTAACGAATTGCTTTCAGAAAGCACATCAATATTCAATCGAGTCTGCTTTCTTTTCATTAAAGGAAGCAATGGAAAAAAAAAGACTTACTGACTTTCATTTTGCACTCATCAATTAAATGCGTCTGTTAAAATCTCAGTCATTTTTTATAGAATATCACCGAACAAATGGCACCATGAAGATCAGCCGTGTATGACGATAAACTACATCCGGGTCCTGGGTAAGACGATAAATTACGTCCAACAGCAAGGCCTCTGATCAGGAGGTTTTGAGGAGCATGGAACCACCTCTTAATTGCTAGTGTTCCCAGGTCCACACTGACCCAAGCTGGTAACATCTGTTATTGTCTCAGCTATGGGCAAATAGTTAAACCCAAAACTGAGGTAAAAATGGATTTTAATACCAGGAATACTTTGTAAAAAAAAAAAAAAAACTTATCAGAAATAAATTTTTGAAGAAAAAAAACTATTACCAGCAATACATTTTTGAAAAAAAAAATTACGAACTATAGGTTTTTGAAAAAATATTACCAGCAATATATTTTTGAGGAGAAAAAGTATTGCCAGCAATAGATGTTTGACAAAACAAAATATTACCACCAATAAAAACTTTGTCGGCATTAAATGACCCATTGAGGTTGATATGCTGTAAAACACAACAAACTTAACCAAACCTGAAGATCAGGCAATCATTAAATCCATCATCCAAATACGGAAAAAGTATGCCACAAATGCAAAGCCAGCAAGGCAAGCCCGTTCAACTAAACTGATAGGCTTGGATAAGAATAGAAATTAAGAGAAGCAAAAAAGAGCCTCGTGGTAACACTTGAGGAGCTTCAATGATCTGCAGCTCAGGTGGGACAATCTGTCGCACTCTCCACAAATCCGGACATTACGGAAGACTAGCGAGGAGAAAGGTATAGTTGAAAGAACAGCATAAGAAAATTCAGTTTTCCACAAGCCATGAAAAAGACCCGCTAAGCAAAACACGCGGAAGAACCTCAATGCATAATGTTACATACAGCGGAAACGTGGGTTTTCACATCACCCTGAGCACACCATCCTCATCATTAAACATGATGATGACAGCATCATGCTGTATAAATGCTATTCCTCAGCACATACAGGAAGACTTGTCAAAGTATATGGGAAGTTAGATGAAGGCAAATACAGAGTAATCCTCAAATAAAACAAGATACAGTCGGCAAAAGATTTGAGACTGGAGCGGAGACTCACAAGCCAAGAGGATACTGAATGGTCATGAATATTGAGACATAGCTAAAATAGAATGGATTAGATCAAAGTATAGTAAGGTGTTAGAATAATGCAAACTTAAATCCAATTGTAAATATGTAGAAAGACTTTATAATTGGTAGTCACAGATGGTCTAATCGTAATCTGACTGAACCTTGGGATTTTCAAAGCTTGTAAAAACATACACCTCAAAAACTTGAAGCTGTAATTACAGTTAAAGATGATTCTACTGATACAGGATGAGGTAAATACACACACACACACACACACACACACACACACACACACACACATATATATATATATATATATATATATATATATATAATATATATATATATATACGAAAAATATAGGTCATATGGATGCGAGTGAGAAGGAAAGGATGTCGTCTGACTTTAGTTACAGGTTTTAGGGCAGAGTATTCACTGAGAAAAGGCAAAATACACTCCATTTCCAACTTTAACTTTTAATCTTATTTAATACAGGCTTAAGTCATTAAAAATTTAACACGGATGTAAATTGATTATTCTTTCTAATTTTTCTTTATGCCAATTAATTGCTTTTGAAATTTGAAATTGGTTCACTATTTCTTATTTTACCATGAAAGTTATATTTAAATCCGTAAACGGAAATCTGAAAATAAAGTTGTCGTCTTAAGAAATATCAATAAAAGAAATTTCTTACTGTTTCTAAAACGTTAATGCATGTTGCATATTTTCTCTTGGATATTTAATCATTGTAATTTTTAAAAAATAAACTCGTTGAAATAGGCGTACCTTTTCCTGTCTTCAGAGTTACAAAAATGCAGCTAAATAAATTTTCTAACATATTTAATGCATCTAACATTTACATAGCATTTTAAGATTTTTTTCTTTATATTTTCTTGCTTTTCTGTAGTTGTCGCCAAAAGTAAACCAATCTTATTCATGCGATAATTGTAATTAATTGCCTTGGGGTTCAATTGTCTATCATTGTCGTCACCATGACTTTTCTTCTTTCGAAGGCCTTTTCAATTCGATGCAGTCCCACCGACAGTAGATGAAGCCCAAATAGATGAGACAATAAGTATGGCAACCTGAGGAAACTTCGGTCTAATGATGCTGTCAATCTTCCTAATGAAAAATGTAGTCTTTGCCTTCAAGAAGGCCTTATCTCTTACCGGATTATATTCGATTATACAAGAGACAAGGATAAGTGCCTTTGTGGATTTCATAGAGCTCCCCTGTCACCCGATCATTGGCCAGGTGACCGTTTTTGGGCATACGAATCTTCTATGCTCGATGCATAATCTCACTTGTGCAGATGTATTTCTCAGAGATTCATTTAAATATTTGCGGCGCCAATACATTTGATGACATCAGTTTTGTAAATAAAAGTTAACAGTGCATATTGTGAAGAAGAAGAAGAAGAAGAAGAAGAAGAAGAAGAAGGAGGAGGAGGAGGAGGAGAAGAAGAAGAAGAAGAAGAAGAAGAAGAAGAAGAAAGAAGAAGAAATAATACTGGAGAGAAAAGCAAAATGATTAAAAAGAGAAAGGTTATGAAGACTAAGATGTAAAAATTTGAAGGGGAAAAAGATCAGAAGAATGGACTGAAGAAAAGTTGAGAAAAGGGAGGAAAAAGCAGAAAATGTAGAAGAAAGGCCGAGGAGGAGAAATATAAAAATATAACAAAGAAAGTAGAAAAAAAGAAAAAGAAAATATTACAGAAGAATTGCAATAAAACAGGAGTTGTGTTTAAACCCGAATAACAACTAATATATCGAAAAGAAAATATCAAAAGTTACGTTAATAAAAGCAAGTCATTAGTTTTTTTCTAATTATTTATTCATTCTGCTTTATCAAAGCGATCTGTATTATCCGAATATAAACACATGTACATAGTCGCTACGAACGAGAAATGTTTTACGATCGAATATATATCGATAAACCCATAATTATCTTTTATGGTCAAAGAATTAATTAACTTGTGATCAGTGAAATCCACAAAGCTTTACTTTGAAGCACAACGAAGTAGGATTTTACATAGAAATTTACTAAGCGGACCTTACATGTGGCACAAGGCTGTATGCATTGAGCCCCCAGTGAGGATTGAACTCACTACTCACTCGTAAATGATCTAGCGAAACAAGCTCGTTTACTTTTACATCAAAGTGCCAGAACATAATTTTATATATGTCGAAATTTTTAGATTGAATTATTATTATTATTATTATTATTATTATTTTATGATTTCTGAGTATTGTTTCGCTGAAGTGGGTTAAATGAAAAACAAGAGGAAGCTGTCATAGATTCTGAATATGAGGAAGGATTACTTCACGTTGACAGAAGACAAACGTCTGAATAAATGTTAAGTAAACATGGCATGTAATAAAACAGAAAAAATTGTTGAAGCTTGGAAGATATAATTGCCAAAATATTTTGGGTGTTGAAGTGTAATAATGGCACCGTAAAAAATGGCACATGTAAAAAACAGACCCTTTAAATATCTTAAAATTAAACACCAGTATCTGTTTAATTTGAAGCGATTGAAAGTTACATCTCTAATAAGAGGACAGTTGTTGTGTGTATATTTAATTCCGGTTCTGTTATCCGGAGACCGTCAAGTACAAGCCATTGATCTCAGTGGCTCTTCTACCACAACTTCTGTAATGACAAATGTACGCAGTTGTAGTTGTAGTTAAGTAAGCTTTATATAACTGAGAATACAAGGTTCGCGTATAGTGTCCTTTTATAGTCCCAGTAAACAGAAATAGCACCCTCAAATAGGTGAGTAACAAAACAAGGGGAGACCATTCTTGATTAATCATAATAACACCATCATGGAAGTCATATTAAATAATATATAATAATAATGCTATCAGATAGAGTTAATAAATAAATAAAAATTTAACGGAAGTGTACGACAATGGAACGAGTCTATGGATTTTAAGTTTAATTTTTATAATTAAATTTATGAAATTAGTTATAAAAATTAAACATAACATTTTCTGTGTTGCGATGGAATCATATTTTAAAAAAAATTAATTACATGTCATATATATATATATATATATATATATATATATATATATATATATATATATATATTTCATTTCATTCAAAACCAACTTTTTTTGCCAAAAGTGTATTATATTTTAATAAACGTATTTTTCCAATTCTTCCACTTGTGCTATTTTTACCGGTGACTTTTTTACCGGTGCTTTTATTACCTGTGGCATTATTACCTACATCCATTATGGTTAAAAACCTAAGATGAGAATTCGGCTTTAAACTGCAAGGATTGGAAAAAGAAATGAAACGTGAAGAATACCAGAGAGATTCATTGGCGAAATATTGTGATCATAGCGACCAGTATGAGCCTGATTCTTCAAATGGCAATGTATATAATAAGACAGAAACGTAAATAAATATTGTGCAGTCGAATGGCGCAGGCTGTTTCGAAAAATAATCAAATAATACCTTTTTACCATTATTGTTCAATTGAAGACACTTTATTCAAGCATAAGAAACATTTTTAACGTTTCATGTTACTCAGCAAGTTGTTAATTTCTCTTCTCCTATGTATTTGTTGTCTTTATTTACGCCATTGTAATGTAGTAACACCAAGTCGAAGCTTATGAAGCTTTAGTATCTGTCTATATTTCTGAGATGAGGTATTATGTACATTATTTACATTATTCGGACTATTATCCTCATCTTTGTCGCCATATTTATTACAACGTTTCGGCCGTTGTACCCTCCGGTCTTCTTCAGGTAGTTTGAATGTCAAACTTAACCCTTTAT